GGGGGGGGGGGGGGGGGGGGGCGTACTCATTTGTTGCTTGCCGTAGTCATTTGACCATTGACCACGCGTCCCTTTCGAGACGGAGCACCGTTCCTACACCTACTAGAGACACCACCAACATTTGGGAGCTCTTTACGTTTCTGCCACAAACTCCATAAAAATTTCTTGCACATCTTATCCCCGTCCTCTAGGGCCTCTTGTGCCCACCATCTATCCCCAATTATCGCGATCGTTTTTTCGCTGTTGTCTAATTTACCAAACTTGTCCATGTCACACCCTCTCTGTCTCATTTCCTCCTCGAGATCCTCTCTTTCCTTCCTGTACAACTCACATTCCCCAACTATGTGGGGTCTACTCTCCTCCGATTTGCCACATGGACATGTGTGTCTATCCTCCTCTTCCTCTCTCCTACGGCTGGTATACCTCTTCCTCCGTTCTGGCAAGTCCAGATCGCCTACTCGAAATTGCAATTTCAGCTTTTTCGCATAGTCCATGGGGCCGTCCAAGTACTTCTTCATCCCTATCCCTTCTTTCAACTTCCCGTATATCTCCAAGTGGTCTTCGCTTCGTACCTTCTTCCGAAGGGTTGTCTCCTCCCTACTCTCTAGCATCTCCTTGACTTTCGTCTTGAACCCCCCTAACCCTTCCGTGTCCAACGTCTCCTCCTCGTCTCCTATCTCCTTCCAAACCTTCTCTACCACCTTGTCCCATCTGATTCCCTTCTTCCCTGGAGTCGCTTTTCCCCAAGCTGCCTCGTCAACCATGGCTGGTAGTCTATCGTCCGACATTCTACTTACCTTGTACTGCCAATTCAACTTCTGCATGTCTCTCTTTGTTTTAAGAGAGTACATTCCCAATTCTGCTCTCAATACAGTGTTGCTCGTTGTACTTGAACATCCTAGTATTTTCTTGGCCGCTGCCATCTGCACCGTTTCCAGCTGCTTGACGGCCTTTTCGTTACCTTCCCATATCTCTCCTGCATACTCTAGCTTAGGTACAATCACCTTCAAGAGAATACACCTCTTAATCCTAGTGTCTAGGTGTGGGTCCGTAAGGATCTCGTCCATCTTGCCTATCTGAGCTTTACTCTTCCCAATCAACTTCGCTATGTGTGCGTCCCATGAGCACTCCTTCGAAATCTCTACTCCCAGGTACGTATACTTGTCTACTACCGGTAGTTCTTCCTCCCCCCATTTCCATTTGAATTCTACGGGATTTTTCTTATCTTCGTTACAGACCACTACTGCGCATTTTCCTACGTTCGCCGACAGTCT